GGATATGCTCCAAGTCCTTTCTTATCAACTTGAGGGTCCAAGGAAGCATGCTTTCTCTGTTATGGCCCCTGGCCTCTGAAACTTCATCCTCCCAAAGATATGAACAGCCTCCTCTTTTCTGGCATTCCCAAAGTCCTTAAAACCTCTCTTTGCTCCCAAGCCTGTGGTTAATGTCTACTGGAAGAGGTTCATATAACATTAAGCCAAAATCAAATCACATTACAGTTGGGTTTTTGGTTTTTTTTTTTTTTTTTTTTTTTTTTTAAGAAAAAGGGTGTACCCTTGATAAGCTCTGTAAATAACTGAAGGAGAAACAACACAGGAAATCTATAATAACAATTTGCCACTTCCATTATCAAATCAATTACTTCAAATTATTGATTCTCCAAATATATATATGAATATTTAACATAATCCATAATATCTTGAATTATTTGCCCTTGTCCATTAAACTTAGCATAAATTGCAACGCTGCTCCATCTTTTAAATATACTTCTGCAAATATTGGAAGCATGTCTTCTAAATTCAGGTTTGGGGACATTAGTCTGGATGTAAGGTCTCCCTTTCTCTGTGAATATCGTTTTTAATATATGATGGAAAAATAATAACAATTAAAAAAAACTTCAGTCAAATTACTTTCTTAAGTAATAGGGAAAGATTTCAGAAGAGGAAAAGCATGGAACATATAGAAAGGTTTGAGCATCCTCATATTATTTTGTAGAGGGCTGATGATAACAGTTAGGAAAGATCATATTACAAATTTGTCCCATTAAGAAACTCATGTAGGATAAAGAGTAAAGATAACAGATTTATTTGATGATATGTATGAGTGCAAACTACTTATGAAAGTAAATTAATACTTTATGTTACAGTTTTGTCAATTGGGTAAAGTATATTCTTGAAAACTATGTTTTTGGTGCAAGTTTTTGCAAACTATTGCAAACTTACTAAGTAGAATCTAGGATTTACAATGTACTGTATGTGTTTAGGTAGATAAGTAGAAATAGACAGACTATCCAATGGTAGCCAAAAAGCATATTATCCAGCCACATCAATGTGTGGTATTTAGCTAACAAATTGAGACCATTATGCAATCTTAGCATAATCAAAAGCTTCTATGGACAAATTGTTTAATTTGATTTTAAAAATGTCTAGGTTTTCTCATTTGTCTCCTAGTTCATAGGATTTATAACAGAATTTGGCAATTTTGAAAAGAATATTAGAATCCACAGGAAGAATTAAAAATAATAACTACCTGATCTACCAGAAAATTTACTTAAAATTAACACTATATAATCACTATCACTGTACATCATAAAATTGATATTACTATATATAGCAGCACATGAGCTGTGGTTTCAATTGTTCCAAAATGCCTGAGGTAAAACTTCTCTGCCAAAGATATGGCAATATATCAAGTCTGAGCTTCTGACACAAATTGATGATATTAGTACTGTGAATTGTTCAGTTCACAATATTTAACAAACAATAATAGATAATGTCAAAGGTTCAGGCTACAAATAAACCTCCTTATAAAGTCTGTATAAGATTTTAGACAAACACCAACTTTGTTGGAACCAATCTTACAATATTCATTAATTCTATTTGAGATAAGCAGAGAAATAGAAATATTAAAATACAATATAATATAAAATACAATATAACGTAGGGACAATCTGTTTTATGGGAAAATTCAAACATTTATGAACTATAGATTATACGGCATCAGTAGAAAACCACAGAGATGATTTAGGGAAGGTATGTAATACAGTCACTTAGCTAAATCTGACTTATGCTGGGGAAAAGAAGAAGAATTACCCTAGCAGAGAGCACAATGCTTATCTTCCCCCTTGTTCTGTTCTACCAAGACTCTGTAGCTCTTTCCAGATTGCCTGGTGTTTTTTTGCCATCATTTGTCCTGCTTATGACTGAGGAGTAGTCGAACTTTGGGTGATTGCCACTGTTACCTGTATTGTCGTTACTTTATTTTATATAATTTTATTGTATTTTATGTCCATTTAGTTGTATAGTTTTATAAAGTTTAGATATATGTATATGCACTTCTACTGTAGTGTTTTCTGGCTTAAATGCAGTAATAAAGATTTTGATTTGAGAAAGCAAAAAGGTGTTAGAACTAAACATAAACATGACCCCATCTTGACTGTGTTTGACCTAAGAAGGGAAAGGAAAACACTGTTACTGTTCTGTTACTATAGCCTGGCCTGTATCAATAATATAAGTTACAAAATTTCTTATGGAGTCAGTTCTACTTCAAAGGGCTGACATCCCAGTTAAATGCCTGTTTTGCTCACTGTCTCCCCTGCATACCTTCTTCAAGGTCATTTTTGTGGTTCTCCACAGCATTTGCTGCAAAAAAGTTTTTATGGAACTAGATTGCCTATACTGAAAAAAAGCTAAGACTGTATTCAGTATTTTACTGAAAAATATTAAGGCTGCAATACAAACTTACTTCGCAGTAAATTCAGTAAAACAGCTCTTATTTTGGGGTTGACATTCAATAGGTTGTGCTGCAAATGTGTTCTTCACAAGATATTTATATGCTATGTGAGATAAAAGGAAACTTTCATGATAATTTTTTTGCAACAGTCATCTATATCTTTATCTTTTAGCTTTCCCCTCCCCCACCTAAAGTCAATGGGATTTATCCCCAAATTTTTGTAGTCCTATATCTGGCCTACAGTGACAATCAGACAAGCTGTCTTTGTACTTTTTAATAAAATTTATTACATGCCTTTTTCTTTTAACAAGAAATAAACTTTTTTTGAAAAGCTGCAAAGCTGCTGACAGCAAGCTAATTAGTACAAGATCAGTTAATGCTACCTGATGAAGCAAAAATACTGCAATTGATTTGCAGAATCTATAGGTTGATTTCTACAGAATCCATGTTCTCTTAGTTTTTCCATAGTTAACTTTTTTCTGAAATTAATCATATTCAAAAAGGACCATCAAGTATCATGTTAAAGAAGTAAAATCCCTCAGATATACTTGGATATCTGTCTGTTTTCCTATCTTTAGCATGTAATTTTGTAGTAATTCAATACAATTTCAACAGTAGAATTGACAATATATAATCCAGCCTGTTTAGGGAATAACACCTTGATGATCTTTAAAATAATTTTTTTTCTTTTGCTGTGTCTTCATTTGTTTTTTTTTTTTCTTTTGCTGTTTCTTCATATTAATTCAGGCATGACTTTTGCCCATCTCATGTGAAAGTAACAATTTTATTTCTGCAGACAAGATAAATACTATACTTACTGGTAGATGTACAGTACATGATGATAAAATTTATTTTACATCAGTAACTGTAACAGCTGTATTTTTCTAATATCTGGGGAAGAAATTTTCCTATGATTTCCTTACCAAACTGGCTAATTACCTTGATCTTTTTTAAAAATATCAACTGTGCATAAGATGTTAATTGATGCTTAACATCTTGGTTTGAATTCTCCTGAGTCTTGGTAGAGTCAAAATTACATGTATTGAAATATATTTAAATAGCTGAACTATTAAAAATGAAGCTGAAAATATTAGAATGAGATTTTAAAACCAAAAAAGACCTTCTTTTTTGTTTCCAAATGGATGAAAATGTTGTGTTTGCTGTGTATTACACAGCGAACGTGGCCTACTGGATCCCAAGGGATGTGCCATTCAGTTGCACACACCTCCCCTCTTCACGCAGATTGGGAGCTGACGTATCTGATTTTATATATGGATTTCCCTCTTTGGCAAGTAGAGAGAATTGGAGATTTCCATTCAAAACTTTCCTAAAAGGAAAATAAAGTAAAACCATAAACATGCTTCCTGCTTTTCATTGAAATCAGCAGATGCACTGCATTCACCCTGTGCAATAAGTCATAAACAAGTTATGCAACTCAAGTCAGGGGGAGAGGGGTAATTGGGCTGGTATTCCAGCTTGCCTTTTTATGTCATGGAAACATCTGCAATCAAAGCCATGTTTATTTTATTACAAAATAAAGTGTTACTGTATAAAGTGTTCCCTCTTTGAAAGGAGAAACTAGATCTTGAAAGATATTCCTTTAAGTTTCAGAATTGGAGAACAGCGTAAATAAAACAGGCCTATTACTAACAGAGATAGATTCTTTTTGAAGAACAAATTTTATTGTACAGACACAGCCTGGCTTTATTGGAGCTTGGCTCTATATTACAGCATAATCAGAAGGATCATGAAGCAACAACTTTTCTAACACTAGTGTGATTTTTTTTTCCTGTGTAGTAGACCTCTGGAACTGCTAAAGATGTTGCCTAAATTTCCATTAGAAAAGAAATGCAAGATGTAAATTTAGTGATTTCTATCCAATGGCACTATTTATATAGCAGGCATCAGCAGTAATTATATAATTATGTATTTTTAAAAACCTAAAATAGTTGCATGAATGATTTATCTAAATGCAACAATTACTAAATCCCAAATATTTTATAGGATGTTATTATAAACATCCTAAAATAAGTTTTTCCTTGGCAGGGAAAGGTATGCTTTGCAGGCAAGGTAGATTTCTCTGGGCTACGGAGCTTTCTTCTAGGGATTATATTATAATCTGTTGTAGAATGAGTGGAAATATTCTCGAATTCCACTTCCAGCCATCCTTGAGATCCAGGAACAAGAGGATTACAGAGTGTCAGTTTTTGAGAGTCTGCAAACTACAAATGATGGAATGGGAGAGAACAGCATTTCCCAGTCATATTATCAGTTCATCCAAACATAATATTGTTGAATACACAGGGCATAACAAACTTAGTAATTCAAAGCAATTTTGGTTGTTATCATTAAGTATCCTCCCATTTGTTTCCCTTCATTTCATGATATATATTTTTTTCATGAAACTGGCAACTTTCAGGTAAAGAGTTGCATAATTTCAAGATATCCTAAATGCTCCAAGTTGCTCAGATGTCACTTTCTGCCTTTGTTTTTCAATTTAAAAGAGACACAGTCACTTATACCTTATTATTTTTTTCTTTAGCTGTGCCTCCTAAATTGAAGGAGATGAAAAGTCAAGAATCTGCTGTGGGTCAGACATTAGTTCTCAGATGTGAAGCCAGTTCTGAGCACCTCTCTCTCAAATTCAAATGGTTAAAGAATGGACAAGAAATAACAAAAAGAAACAGACCAGAAAATATCAAGATTAAGAGTCCCAAAAAACAAAAGTAAGTATATAGCAGTGTATCTAAAAAGCTGAGAATTGTTCACCATGATGCAGATATCAACTGTATTAATGATCTCAGATGCCCAAAATGTGTTATTCTGTTTGGAAAGAGATAATTAATGGAAATAGGTTTTTATTTTATTTTAACTTAGTGATTTTATGATGCTGCTGTTATATCTTATTTCATAAAAAGTTAAACAGAAACTCTTTGTCATCATTAAGCTAGTTCTATAGGGCAGAATTTCCTTCACAATGAATGTATTTCTAATCCTGCAGTGGTAGTGCAATAATCCAAACTGTGCATAAAAGTATAAATTTACTAAAGCAGTTTGCACCCACTGTGCTAGACACATTCACAGTCTAATAAACATTGTGAGAGACAAAAAAAAATCCTTAATTTGTTAGCTAGGTATTGTTATGTTTAGAAAAAAAAATAGCTACAGTTTCCTCTCATTCTTGCTTAGAAAACTCATGGACTGTTGCATGACAGTCAGAATCAATATATTTTTAATGATCTGGTTAGAATGTGAATATAATTTTTCATTGATCTGACTAGATTGGTTTTTAATCTTTAACATTTGTGCAATCAGTAAAATACCTTGATTGGTTTTGGATACGTTTAAACTCCTTATTTCTTAGTTTAATCTGCCTCAAAGAACAGTTATGAAGTTAAAATCTTGGTATGAATTTAAAAAAGTAACACAAACATTTTGATGTGTTTTAGTCCATTTCCTCTGGGTGAGCTCAATTGAACCAAATATCAAGACACAAGTATCCTTCATGCTGCTGATTTTATCATATGTTCATTAAAGAAAGATGAAGCAGAGTTTTTGTTAGTTCATTTCAAACAATGAGTGTTTGGAAAGCTTATTATCTTATTGTCATGGCTGCAATTTTCAATCCCAAACAGCTGCCAAAATCAATGAAAACACTTTAATTTTTTTTGTTAAACCAAAGTCCTTTTTTTCCTCTGTGTGTCTTATATTAAATACTAAAATACTAAATTGCCATCAGCTGTCACTATATTAAATATAGTGAAGGATGACTTAGGAAGTCAGCTGGGTTTAAACTGAACATGATTGATTGAAGCAGTAGAGTTCTTAAGGCCGTTCAACTGGCAGAAAAGACTTCTCATTTCATGCAAAACTCAAAGAGGTTGAAGTATTGCAGGAAAATAATAGTTTTACAGCTGGATCCAGGTTACCTTGGACCCAGGTTTGAGTCCAATATTATATATTTTGTATGTAATATGATCCCTGCTACATTGTGAGACATGCTTTAACAAATGAACCTATTTGGGAAGATTGATTCAATATGCATTTATGAAAATCACTAGTCTTGATGTTACATTTCAGTAACAGCTGACATGGTTGGGAAGTTGAGCGTGAAAGTTTGTAGAAAATTCCAGATGGACTCTGAAAATTCAAGAGACAAGCTATGAATTTTTTCGGGTAAACGGATCTTATCTTGGATAAAATATCTTATCTTGGGAAAAAATTGCTTATTGTCATAGCTGCGAACACTGAATGAATTTTGTAAAATTAGCAGATACATTTTATATGGATTTCTATTTTTAAAAGCATAACGTATGAGTACCATGGTCATAGTTTGAGATTAGATTTCATATCAGCTGAAGATGTACAGACAGTCCTCAACTTACAACCACAATTTAGCCCAAAATTTCTGTTGCTAAGCAAGATGGTTGTTAAGTGAGTTTTGCCCCATTTTACAACCTTTCTTGCCACAGTTGTTAAGTGAATCACTGCAGTTGTTAAGTTAGTGGCATGGTTGTTAAGGGAATCTGGCTTCCCCCTTAAATTTGCTTGTCAGATGGTCACAAAGCCGGAACACTGTCAAGCATCCGAATGTAAATCATGTGACCACAGAGATGCTGCAACGGTCGTAAGTGTGAAAAACAGTGATAAGTCACTTTTTTCAGTGCCATTGTAACTAAATGAGCTGTTGTACATAGAGGACTACCTGTATATGGCACAAGGAAGGATTATGATTTCTACCCCTAGAGCTTCTGCTTAGATTCTGTGCACTGGAAAATAGAAATTACCTCAGCACATCCTAATTTTGCTTTATTTTGTCTGCATGTTTTCTTGCTTTGAATGGAGCTTTGCTCCTCCTTTCCCCTGACCTTTCCCACTCCTTTCTTGGCTGTGCTGCCATTTCCTGAACAATTTTCTGGATGAAACTTTTGTGGTCAGAACAAAAATCTGGTTAGTGAGAGAAATTCTGGAGGGCAGAATTTACTTGAGCTTCAGCCTAACCCACTTTAACCAGAAATAGCATTGAGTTTAGATTAGTGGTTCTCAACCTTTTTAATGCCACGACCCCCAACCGGTCATAAGTCAAGGACTACTCAACCAGTCATAAGTCGAGGACTACTCAACTGGTGCAGCACCGTTTGCAGAATGGGACTTTTGGTGGGCTCAGCAGGGCAGAGACAGCCTGGACAATTCCTATTGGCTTTTGAAAGCCAATAGAATTAGACTCTATTCAAGAGAGTCTATTCTATTGGCTTTCAAAAGCCAATGGAATAAAAGGGAGTAGCACAGCTAAGGAAAAGGGGGGAAAATGGCGGATTGCGTTGTTTGTCACCCCCCGTGAAATGGTCGTTCGATTCCAAATGGGGTCCCAACCCACAGGTTGAGAACCACTGGTTTAGATCATACTGTTAGGTAGACCTGACAAAAACAGTTTATAGAATTCCAAAATACAAATTGGTTACAAAAGAAATAGTTTTATAAATATCTTAAAAGCCCACACTTTCCTTTGCCAGACCTGATCAGCTCATGTGTACAGCTCCAGTGTGATATATTCACAAGTTTGCAAGTGAAAGGCTCAATTTCCTGCTTTCTATTTGGATGTTTTGTGATATTTTAACACAACTTTCTATTTGCAAGATATGTGTAAAGATTATATTAAGTTATTCCCTGCCAGAACTGAGAGCTCCTGTTAGATCAGTATAGCTTTTTTTAGGGGAGAGGGGCATGAAGGCTAATTATTCTACAAAAGTTATCATATATGTAAAGGTGATGCAAAATCTGCTAATTAAGCTTCATGGAAATGTTCTTCAGTAAAGATTTCATTTAAAAATATATGATGAACAACACAGGAATTCATATAAGATTTTTATACAGCAGAAACTTATCAATCATATCACAGTTATACTAATATTTAGACCTAACCTTAATTACAGTCTTAAAAGGAGTGAAATAGAAACTATTAAATCTATCAGGAAAAAAATAAATTTAAGTTTTATAGTGAACACATTGAAATTCCATCCCTGTCTTTATAACTGGAAATTGATACACTTTGAGAACCCCATGAATGTAAAGGTATTGTACATTTACATATGGTTTAAATTAAGCATATTTTGGTATGTTTTAGTTTAATTCATACTGAATTGAGTAAGGATTATTTTTATAAAATAAAAAGGCAGTTTTTAAAGCAATTATCGGTAATGTTGCGGGGGGTGGCAATAAATACATTTTAGTGGTTGGTACACCTATTCAGTCCATCTTGATTTCATGCCTTCATTTTTCCCTCCTAATCTGGTCTTGTTTTTATTTACAATCCAGCTTCAATAGATGCTATGCAAAGCTGAAAGCATTACTCACTATCATAGTACATATAACTTCAGGCAAGTGTTTTATGCTGGTAGACATGTACACCTATCATACATAAAATGCATGCCATTGTTAAGGGTCTTCCAAATTCACAACATGTTTTTGTGCTAATCACGGCCTTCCACAAAATATCCATTAACCAGAATGTAACTAACCCTCCTAAGGCCCCAAGATGCTGCCTAAGATTACCAAGAGGGGAGAGGTCGCACCTTCAATAAAAGTACCTCATTATAGACACCCACTGATTTTATTATTGAAGAATGTTCATCGTACTTATATGTGGCCTAAAGAAATTTTGTGAAATATACAGTGGTTAAATGCTAAATTCTGTCACTTTGTGTCACACCCAAAACCAAGAATGACACATGGCAATTCTTCCAAGCTGAGATCTTTATTGCTTCACACCTATAAACAAAACTTGCCAGACTAAAGATGCTACCATCTACATTTGTAACATACTCTGTGAACTAATAGGGAGGCGTTGTCTTCACTCTCTTTCTCTCACACATACCATCTGAGCTGAGTTGCCTCTTAGGTTCCTGAAATTCAACCCTCCTAGGAATTCACCTTCTCACTACCTTCCACCACACTTTATACCATGGCAAATTCCTGGTCTTATTAGTATATTATTTTTATACATTTTAAAAATAAGATCAGATAGAGCACAAAGCCTGGCCTGGCAGGGATATATGCTATATTGCTTACATCTATGCTTGCTAATAGATACAAACAGTATTAGTATTAGTGTTATGTCCCGAGCCTTGCAAACGGCTCGGGCGTTTGCAGGCAGTCCCGGGCAGGTGCAAAGCTGCCCGGGACCAGACAGGCTGTCGCCAGCGCCGTGCGCATGCGCGGGTGCTGGCGCGGGAAAAGTAACCCATTTACCCGGGAGTTGCCTATATAAGAGGCTGCGAGGCGTTTGGGCGAGGCTGAAGCCATCTTCCTGTAAGCTGAACGCTGAATAAATGAAACTGAGAACTCCAGCTGCTTCTCGTGTCTGTTTTCCCGCCACGGACTCAACACTGGCGACGAGGATGGGATGCCTTGCACTACCTGGAAAGGAAGAAGTGTAAGCTTACCCAAGGAGTCCTGAGCGGCGAAAGAGGAACGGCGTCGACTCGGCAGCTGCCCGCCAATCCGGTGCGCATTCGGGGGTAGGCTGGCTGATAGACCCGTCTCCTGAAGATCCGAAGATGGCGAAAATCGGAAGGCTTTCGGAATTCGACGTCTCACATCCAGAGCGGTGGGAGTCCTACGTATCCAGAATGGAGAACTACTTCAAGGCAAACCAAGTGAGGGAAGATAGCTTGAAGGCGGCCACCCTGCTTTGCGTTTGCGGCCAAGACGCCTTCGAAATCGCAGA